AAAAGTAAGAAAGTGTCATTGTACAACAGAGGACTTCATTGTAGTCAATGATTCAATGATTCAGCCTTGATCATAAGTCCTTAACCATTGAGCTGTCAATCAAACCGTTCATCCTTAACTGCCGCATTGCACAACAGTAGAAGCTTATATCAACCATCAACCTTAAGCAAACACGGCACAGACCACACACACTTTCATATACTATTAAGACTCAAATATGAACAGAAACTCACATTTGCAAGTCCAAATGCACCCAGTGAAAATCCCTTAAAACACTTTAAAGATATGCTTACAAGTTTACTTAATCGGTCTACAAACAATTTCCATCAGTGTATTTACAAACATCACAGGAGGTCTTTTTTTAACCTCATGAATTATGAACAAATGTCATTCCACTACATCTCAACTCTCATTTTCATTTTGTGGTGAAAATTCATTAAATTATTTTTTGGATGAAAAAATGACTCAACCCTTTGTTTTGCTAATGCTAATTTAACAGCTAGCATTTTGTGTCCAGAATACTTAATACTTAAAAATATTTTCACACTTTTTGAATTATTGACAAAATCATATCTTGTTTGGAAGTAACAGTGATGTTACCTTGAAATTTACCTTCAAGTCTCGTGCATGCTGAATGAAACATGATCTTCACTGGTAAATAAGAACTTTTGAAAAAAAAACGTTATTGGTGCAAACATGTTGGTCACAGTGGAAATAACACTTTGCCAGTCACAATTGTATACAAAATATAGATGTTAATCATGTTTTTTACATAATAAAAATTAAAATGGTTTACAAATGTTTTTGTTTAGATTATAATTGAAAATTAAATAAAAGCCGTTTAGAATAAATAAATTAAGGTAGTGTTTTAATGCAACCTATAGATTTGGGGTGTGCACGAATAGTCGAACATTCGATCTGAAATTATTATTCGAATAATAAAAACACTATTCGAATTTTACTATAAATATTCGAATGCAAAATTTTTGGAAAATGCCCATCCCTACTATAGATAACAAAAACTTATCTGTTAATGAAAATGAAAACCTAGGACACGCAGAGACTGTAGCTGAATAAACACAGATGTATGTCACACTGATGTTCACTGGTTTTATAAACCCTGGATGTTACCACATTTAGTTTAGATGAGTCACTGCTGTTCACTCAGCTGTCATATTTCACTGTGCCTAAAGGACACGCTCATAAATCTGTACAGAGAGTCCCATGGGATAAATGTTACAGAGATCATGATGGGACAAAGCTGTTGGTATTTGCGTAGGCAGTAGGCACACATAAGTGATTAAATGCGCGCGCGCGCGCGCGCACACACACACACACACGAGCATTCAATACTTCAATAAACATTTATAGGTCCCGATTAGCAGAGAGGAGGAAAGAAGAGAGGAAGCAGATGCAAACCAAGAGCCTCAGGAAAAAATACATTTTGAATAATCATTTTACTGAACAATGATAAGGCATGCATTGATCCGAGTGTGTTCGTGACGCATCCCAGACTAACTTGACCAGTGCTCATACTTAGACATTGGTTACGTATTATTAATATTATGCAACAACAAATATATCTATCTATCTATCTATCTATCCCACATGACCTTTGAACTTCACATTCCTTAACTCGCATCTGCTTAAGGTTGCCAACATGCACCTGTGGTATACAAGACATATATGCATACATACATACATGTAATAATAATAATATAACCTGCTCACCCTCAGCTGTTTTCACAGCTGATCCTGCTAATCCTTTGCAACCAATAAACATCCTGTCTTGTCTAACGTTACACCGTTACACCCGTTCAAATGGCAAAAATGTACTGAGATCTAAACCTAAATATCAGCATCATGAAAACAGATAAATGATTACTGATTGTATAGGGCTGTTTTCTTTGTACAGTTTATAGACAAGTTAGAGTGAAGTTGCACTTACGTAAAATAGAAGTGAAATTTTAGAACTCTTACAGATTGATAAACAGCTCCCTCTAGTGAAATTGTGTAATTGTCTCAAGCGATGTCTACACTGAAACACATTGGTTGTAGAAACCATTAGAAACCAGAAATTGCTGGTAAAATTCAACACGTTGAATTAAACGTCCAATTTTAAATGATAAGCTTGGTATCATTCATTCATATATATATATATATATATATATAAATAATAATAATAATTATATATTTAATTATTTTTTGCGGCCCAAAG